AACCGATCCCATCGCTCCGTCTCCGTGGTGGGTATTGCTCTTTTTACGCTCCGTCTCCTATGGCCGAGATTTACGCACCGCTCCATTAACCTGGTGACATTAGTTTGATTCCCAGCCAAGGCTAACATCATTAGCGAATGATATCTGATCCGATCCAGCCCCCCTCCCTCCCCTACTCCCACCGGGATGCATAGTGTCAGTTAGAATTTGTGTCAGACCTGGGGGCTGGGCTTCCAAGAGGTCAACTCAGCCTGCAATTAGTACAGTAACACAGACAACAACACTCCTGTCTGTTCAAGTCTATTTAACAATGCAGTTAATACTGGTAGGAACCACCTGGTTCCACCAGCCCACAGGGGATTATTGTGTACGTCCGTCGTGCATCCAAAAATGGGAGGGGTTTGGCTGGGTGGAGAGGGGAGGGTGAGGAGGGGCTGGGTGGGAAGGGTGGGGAGGGGCTGGGTGGGGAGGGGAGGGTGGGGAGGGACTGGGTGTGGAGGGTGGGGCTGGGTGGGGGGTGGGAGGGGTGGGGCTGGGTGGGGAGGGGCTGGTCACCCCATGGTGCCCTTATAAAACTCAACGTGTAACCTACTCACGCCGGCTTGTGCCCACCCTCACAGTCGGGCATATTTGCGGAATACACCACGTCGCCGTTGACACTGGCCATTGACCGAGCAACCCAACGTTCCTACCAGCTCCCTCCGCAGGAATGTGTTGTTGTCTCTCTTGTGAAGGCACGTTGTACGTCGTTCGCACCATACGTAGCCAACCGTGCCAATTCTGTAGTCCCCTGGCAAGTGCCTCGAATGAATTAGCATCTCCAACAATGACCAACTAACGGTGCGAAACAAACGAACGTGCAATGAGAGAGAGAAATAGTTTGATGTATATTTTGTGAAACCACTCGCACGGGACGGCGATGGACACGGATTGTGGGGTCGTGAACAGCACCCCACCGCCTGTCTGCCTGCCGTGCGCTCTCAGCACCGAACTCACTCGGGCACCGCACGGAGGGGCTTACAAGGCACCGCGGTGGCGAGAATAAGTTAATTACCTCGCCTGGTATGCAGGAGGTCGTGGGTTCGTTCCCAACCCTGACGCCTGCTGTATATTTGGAGTTTGCATGTCTCTCTCCGTGGCTGCGCAGATATTTTTTCGCGGGTCCCCCGGTTTTTTTCCCACTCCACGTTTAAAAGGAACGTGCGTTTCGAATATTCTGGCTGCTGTAAATGTCCACATGATCAATGTTCACGTGATAAGCCACTTCATTGAGCTGTCACTTGGGAGAGCCAGGTCGCTTCGGAAAAGAAAAGGGCCTCATACTGTAGCTCAGTGGACCTAACCTGGAAAATACCAAAATAGTTTGCTTTGATTATTTTCAATTTATTATTATTTTAAAAAATATATATTTTTATTGTGGTTTTTTGCTTTTATTATTTGAAATTTATTTTTATTATTTTAATTTAGAATTTTTAATTGTATTTCATTATTTTCGTTTTCTATCTACGTGACTTTACTGAAAGAACCAAGAATATACTTTTAGTATAGTTAAGTTTACACGCGCAGCGCGGCAAAGGCGGTGATCCTGATCCGAGAGGCTTTGCGAGAACACGGCTCCCGTTGTAAAGGGGGCACCGATTCACCCCCCCGCCCCCCCCCCCCCCGCATTCAACAACAACCTTCAACTCCAAAGCGAACACCAACCAGGTCAGTTGTATAACTGACCCAGGTTTTGGGTGAATTGATTGTGAGTAAAACCAGACCGTACCCCGCCGTTGCTCAGTTGCATCGGGCGTCAGTGTCGCGTGAGAACAATCGTGGAGGTTTAATCGCTGACACACCGGCGATTCGACAACTCAACAATTAATTGTTAGGATGAGCCAAGTTGTTCCGCAACCAGGGTTTCAAGCTACTCACGTCCAACTGTGAGTTTGTTATTCTGCCACATGATCACGTGGCTTTAATTAAAATAGCACAGCGCGCTAACCTTTGCACTACCACTGCACTACCGCTGCACTACCGCTCCCCACGAAGACAGACAAAGATCCCCCATATAGCCTTAACAGACGGTTGGTGCAAGTGCTATTAACAAGCTCCTATGGAGGCTGGCACGGCACACTAGTGGGTGGGTCGTCAGCACCACGCCCGGCCGCCTTTGTCTCCCCAGTGGCGGTGTTTACACAGTCCACCAGGTACTTATTTAAGGCTGAGTCGACCTAGGGGAGGCCCAGGACCGGTTCAGATAATCGTCAGTGGTGTTGGCCGTGAGCGGGAATCGAACTTGGATTGCCGGTTTAGTAGCACAGCGCGCTAACCGCTACACCACCGCTCCCCACACACAGACACACACAGACCAGCAGCTACTGTGATACATAGTAATATAATATCGATGGAACTACTCCCATATCCTGCATTAGGACAAATAAGCGGACACAGCCATGCTTGCAAGCTATGCTATCTGTCATGTTCTGTGTGCATCGACTGCTGCAGTTCCTGTTTTAACCTAAGCCGCTTCGCAACATTATTTATCCCTTATTCATTGCTTTTTAGTTTCATTGCCACATACAAGCAATCAACCTGGACGTGCAAAGCAATGGCAATCTAATTACGCTCTGAAATCGGAGTAATATTTTCGGAATGGTCAGTGCCAGCCTTTGGAAATCAGATTATTAACTTCAGGCAAAATGGTCTCCCTGCTCAAACAAGCAATGGAGCAGCGTCCATCTCATTTCCTTCCCCTGCGCCAGTACTGGACATTTCACAATCCCATGGCGAGAAGCGATGCTTATTTAAACGCATGTGGTGGCCTCTGTTGACCGGTACTCACAATGTATCAGCCCCTGAAGGATGATGTGCTGATTCAACCGCTGAACGACTGACTTCCCACAAAGCATTACTTCACGTATCATTCCCTGACTGATGACCGGTTAAATCAGCCGCTGACCGCAGCTCTGAACTCGTGGCCTCCTGTGAGCCAAACGCGAATCCAACCCCAGTGCCAGCCGGCTGGCTAACCTGAGGGATACAATCACACGAGGTGGGGCAGCCACTGTGGGTGTCGCATAGGTGTCAGATACCCACGGCATGTTTAGACATGGCTAAGAGCCCCCCTCCCCTACTTCCACCTCCTTCAACATTCTGAACGAAAACCACGGTATTTTTGAGTCCACGTTTCTCTTCCTTTGGCAAGGTCACGTACTAAATGCTGATCATGCTGATGACGCAATCTTTAAATACACAATTGCGCACGAGCAGTCGGCTCAGTGCTGAGTCAACAGTCGGAACAGCAGTTGGGGAGATTTAAAATAATTTGCGCTGCAGCAGAACTCCGCTTCAGCTCGATGGCTCAGCGGTAGTGCGAGCGAGCGCGTGGCTCGCAATCCGAAGGTTTCGAGATCAAATCCTGCTTGGGGGTTGACTCAGCCCATCATCCCTCCGGGGTTGATCAAAAAATTAGTGCCACTTTGTCGGGGAAGTCAACAGCGGTTTCCTTACGGATGGACTCATCCCTGCCGTGTGAATGCGGACTTTCCGCCGCCGGCTCAGGACTGCAAACAAGATATGAGCACCGCTCCTCCGCTAGTTTGAGCGTGACATTACTTCGACTTGAAAACTCCTTTCTCGTCTGTGAATTTGCGGTGGTCCACGTTTGTAATCTAACCAACAGCAACAACCGCCACCGGGAACAATTTTCTCGTGGCGATACCCCCAACGATCCTGGCTCGCACGACGGCCACTCTGCTCTTCAACCCCATAAGAGCAATGCCCAGCGGCACAACGATGAACCAATGCCCCCTTGCTTTCCATGTTGGCCCCAAGGAGCTCCCCGTGCCGCACTGCATTAGGCAATCAGTGGTGGGCGCCCCCTGCCAGCCACTCCAGCACCCCCCCCCCCCTCTCTCTCACCCCTGCACGGCCCGGGAGGCATACAGTGCGTTTGCAAAACATAATGAAGGCAAACGCTTCCATCTGGCAGCGGGGAACCGCTGCAGAGCAGAAGCGCGATGGCACATGCTCGCGGACGAGCGTGTGGCGGAGATGCCTGCTCGCTCCATGGCCATGGTGGCCGTGGTAGCGATGAGAGTGTGAGTGATGGTGGTGCTGCTGATGATGATGAAGCTGGTGGTGATAATGATGTTGGTGGAGGTATTGAAAATGCTGATGATGATTCTGCAAATGTTAATTATAGAAAGAGTGTGGCATGATGGTTATGATGATGACTCAACAGAGCTGGCTCATTGCTCTTAAACATTCGTGAGCCTGCCCACCTAAATCACCCTCGCACCTTACATCGCACGTTAAATTAATATCTGTTGCACAATCAACTGGATCTAAATGAACCAAAGGCTCCAGAACCGCAGTGGCTCTGCTCAAGGCGCCTTGCGTAAGTTACGATGTCAAGCCGAGCCATCGGTCAAGAAGGCCTACGCACTCACAGAAATGAGTGAACTTGATGAAGTCGTGCCATTCTCTACACGGTCCCCTTAAAGTGCAGCACATGTGGTGCATCAGTATGACCATCATCATCATCATCCAACAACGACGTTTCAAGGCATTATTCCCATCCCGGAAGATATCTGTGTCTCACTCCTCACACCCACTCACAGCTCACTGCTCACGTCGCTTCATCGGCACGAGGAATTCCCTTTTCCCCAGGAGCGATTCCTCAGCCCTGGTGAATGTGGGCGACACTGGGAGCCAGGGGCGGTTGCCATGGATTGTTTTCTTCTGATTCCTGATATATCTGGATGTCAGATGCCTCCATCAATCAAATAACCTTCAATACCAATTCAAAACTCCACCGCCTCCGCCCTCACTCCCCACCACAAAACAACTAGCATTTATCGCGATGAAATTTGACTCTAAAGATGTTAAATATACTTTACTCATGACCTTTGACTGAACGTCCAAACCCTCTGTCGTAACACCGCTCCATCTCTACATGAGGACCGTGGACTCTCCGAGCATTGGTCGATGACCGGCGGTCAGGCACCACCTACCCGTCTGTGTCTTGGAAGTTGACGTTCGGTTTCTTGGTTGTTCCCAGGAGCTCTGCGTGACAGGGGGCGGGGGGGTCACACAGAGATGCAAGTCCATTAGCGAAACCAGGTTAACCCTGACGACTCACATTTGTTGTCAAGGCATGTACAGATCATTAATGTTGTTGTTTTTTATTTATCACCGTCTCTCGATCGCTCCGATATTACCCATTGGCGGTTTCAGGTGAAGTCCAAGATTGTTCTCCTCGCCAACAAAGGCCCTCCTCAATGATGCTGCTCCCTCACATTATACACGGGACCTCCTCGGCCCATATGTTCCAACAAGGGCACCTCCAAGCGTGGCCGGTTGTGTGTGACCAAGGTCACGTCTCTGTACGAGGATGATGATGATGATGATGGGTCGCCGGGCCTTTTCTCGCGTGACCCCCAGGCTGCGGAATTCACTTCCACTGGACGCTCACTCTGCCATAGTCCCCACTCGCTTTATTCAAATCGTGCCTTAAGACGCCACTGAATTTTAATGGATTTCTCTCTCTTGAATAATTTGTTTCGCGGTTGGATTTAATTTGTGTATGCCTGCATGTGTTTTTTCTCTGTTACAGTGCCTTGTGACCTACGGTGAAAGATGAATTAGACGTGTAAAGTATTAATAATAATATTCATATTCTATGGTTCTTTCGGTAAAGTCACTTAGAAAAAATTGTAATAAAATAACGTGATATTTTTATTCACTTTATTTTTATTATTTTATTGCAATTTTTTTCTATCTACGTGACTTTACCGAAAGAACCATTGAATATTTATATAGTGCTTTTTTATACATATAAAAGGGAAATTTGTGATTATGTGTGTCTGTTTGAAATGTTTAGCATACTTCCCAACATGCAACAAACCTGAAATTTGGCATGTGGATAGCTTCCAGACGACACACAATGCAAAAAGTAACAAAAATAGACTTTTGTATTTTGAGGGGGGGGGGGCGCAATAATGGATGTAATATATTGCACGGCAAGTGAGCGGTGACGTCCCATCTGTGATGTCACCCGCATGCGGCAGCGTCACACAGTGTGCCTGCTGACGTCACGCATCCCCCCCCCCCAACCCTCCGCGTAGGCCGTCTATTAATCCAAGACAATAATCCAAGTCTCGGGCGAATCCGGGTAGTAAAGCCAGTCATCAAGAATCTCAAAGCGCCGTACAGGACACAGCAGCAGCAGCAGCAGATACTCAACATCAAAATAAAAATAGTATTAGTATTGCTCTTCAACCAATAACCATTTTTGGAGTTTGTATAAATAATTGTTTTGTTTTACTTCCCCAATGGTTATTGTGGTTTAGGTGCCGCGGCACGACACACGGCAATTCGCGTCCACAGCTCCACGGCAGCGGGAGTGCCCCTCGCTGTTTCAGAGAACGACGGCTCTGGAGGATGACGTCACAGAACGACTTCCCAAAGTCACTCGAGTGGCCTATATATAGATGGATCCACACTCGGGAAACACCTTTTAATGTCGTGCAAAGAGTGTGGGGTTTTTTTTCTTTCTGCATAGCAATCAAACCAATTAATTTAAAGGAATAAATTGCAGATAATTTTCCATGAAGTCAGACAACTCTAGCAAAAATAACAGCATTGAAATCTATTTAAATTCAATTTTACATATTTAAACTAGGTAAGCCATGTGAACTTCATTATCCATTTAAACAGGTACATATGAGCAAAATTCTTAACCATGCGATATTTTATTTAGTGTAGTTAGATGCAGGTAATTCACCGTTTTCAGAATGTGGTTCTGACGTTTGTGCAGAGCGGTGCAGCGGTTAGCGCACTGGACTTCGAACCCAACAACCTCTCACGGCTAACATCAGTGGGCGAGTGACCACCGTGGTGAAGTATGGTCAAACAGCCCCCCATGGCTGACATCGCAGAGGGAGGCCTTCATCCAGCAGCAGCTTAACAAAGGGACGTAAATATGGCCCGCTCGAGATATTAATTCTATCACAGCTCTTTAAATTAGTCCTGCGGAATGGTACTGAAGCACAGCTCACAATCTGAAGGCCGTGAGTTAATTCCATACTCGGGGTCAACCCAGCCTGTCATCTTGACAGGGGTCAACTACGTCCTGCAAAGTCAACAGAGAGTCGATCAGCGGATCAAACATGGTGGCGTAAAGCGTGGGTACTCCCCCACCTCTTCAAAGACATCTCGCCTAGCGTGGCAAAGTAGGCCAAGTGCCCTCTTATCGGAGCTCTTGAGAGCTCCATCCAGTGGAGATCCTTCCACCGCCAACAGTAGTGTGAGCAAGCATTGCAGGGCTGCACCTTTATATTTACCAACAGTGGAAAAACTATGAATGAACTAGACCCTAGCATGATAACGTGGAATTTCCACCAAATCCTCAAAGCCATCAGTAAAGATTAGCACTGCCCCATTGCTTATTTGTAGGGGGATACACTTTGACCTTGAATTATGCAAACATCATCTGTATTCAGCCTCCAAACAACCAGAAAAGCACATGCAACTCAGTGCATTCTAGATGCTATTTCGGCCCAAACTTGCGGCCAAATTTACTGCCTACTGTAAGTTCAAATATTCTCAAGACCCCAAACATAGCCCATGTGTAAACAAACCATACATGGGTTCATGGCACTGTCCCTATTTTAAACTCAGCAGTAAACCAAACAAACCCTCATTGTAAACAGACGCCATGTGGTTACAAGGAACCATCCTGCAAGTGGATATTTAAAGATGTCATAAATAGTACAGTAGATACACAGAGAAATATATTTATATGTATATAGACAGGCTGATAGACCATGGGGCAAATGATTGTATAATCAGACGGACAAAGAGACACAGCAACTCATTTGTCATAAGATGGACGTAGATTTATAGACCCATAGGTTAGACAGATCGATGGGTCGACGGACAGACTGATGGATAACTCGACAGCCGAATTGGACAGACACACCACAAACATCAGGCAGACAGACAGGTAAAGCATTGGATAATCAATTAGACATAGCAACGATGTAAAAAGAAACCTTCCAAACTCCTAGACGATTGTAAATGTATTCAAATGTCTCCAAGTGATGTCTCGTTCTACCTCCGAGGACAAAGTGCAGTTTAAATTGGACCGGGTTTCCCATTTTTACTTAAAATTGGAAAGACAGTAATTGTCTAAATGTCATCCACTCTCATAAAACTATACTTTATCACAGACACTGTTGAAAAAAAAACATCTGATAATTGTCCTCGAATTAAAGTAGAACGCATTCCAAAATTTCATTAAAAAATAAAAATGTTGTGATTGTTATGTGAATCTTTAATTGTTTCTATTGGTGACAAATGCAGCATTAAGTTATTATTGGAATGCTTATAAAACATTTAAATTCAATTTTACCATCACACATACAGCGATGGGACGGCAATGGCACAGTAGTTTCAGCACTGCACTACGAATGATAATACTCTTGAGTTTCATTGAGTGCCATCGATCATACAAATTGCATCTGACGATCTCTGAGGAACCACAGAATTAATGCTGGAAGGCAGCAGCCAAGCAGTGAGGCGACACTACCAACAACTGTGCAAGCTCTGCAGTCCTCTATGTATATTAAGATGCTTTCGGCCAGTTAATGAGCGTGAGACGAAACCAGAACTCCCAGAAACAGCCCACGCATGCGAGGGGGCAACACTCTATCCCATACAGATGGGACAGATGTGAGGTTAGTTCACACTTTTTTTATTTTCACCAGGTAAGGCTCAATAAGCTATTTGGGGCTTTTTAAGAAGCGACCTGGTCACAAATGATAGCTCAACTTAGTGGCGTATTGTGGGGACATGTATTGCAGCTAAATACTCTGCACACCCCCCCCCCCCAACTTCACCAGTGACTAGGCCGGTGAAGTATGGTTAAACAACCCCCATGACTGAAACATTGTGGCCAGGCTTTCATCCAGCAGTGGATAGAAAAAACCTGTAAATTGTCATTATTAAACTTGATTTTAAGCTTTCGTGACTGCAGGAATTACTCTTTGGTTCTTTCAGTAAAGTCACGTAGAAAGTAAACAAATAATAGAATACGACGATTCGATTGCAGTCGTCATCAGGTAGAACTAAATTTGAGAGAGAGACAAAATACAGACACGGAGACACACAGATAGACACACAAGCAGAGAGAGACAACACAGAGACACTGTGTGTGTCTATGTTGTGTATCTCTCTGTGTGTGTCTCTGTGTTGTCTCTCTCTGCTTGTGTGTCTGTGTGTCTCTCTGTGTGTTGTCTCTGTGTTGTCTCTCTCTGCTTGTGTGTCTGTGTGTCTCTCTGTGTTGTCTCTCTCTGCGTGTGTGTCTGTCTGTGTGTCTCTCTGTGAGTGTCTCTCTCTGCTTGTGTGTCTGTGTGTCTCTCTGTGTTGTCTCTCTCTGCGTGTGTGTCTGTCTGTGTGTCTCTCTGTGAGTGTCTCTGTGTTGTCTCTCTCTGCTTGTGTGTCTGTGTGTCTCTCTGTGTTGTCTCTCTCTGCTTGTGTGTCTGTCTGTGTGTCTCTCTGTGAGTGTCTCTGTGTTGTCTCTCTCTGCTTGTGTGTCTGTCTGTGTGTCTCTCTGTGTTGTCTCTCTCTGCTTGTGTGTCTGTCTGTGTGTCTCTCTGTGTCTCTGTGTTGTCTCTCTCTGCTTGTGTGTCTGTGTGTCTCTCTGTGTTGTCTCTCTCTGCTTGTGTGTCTGTCTGTGTGTCTCTCTGTGAGTGTCTCTGTGTTGTCTCTCTCTGCTTGTGTGTCTGTGTGTGTGTCTCTCTGTGTTGTCTCTCTCTGCTTGTGTCTGTCTGTGTGTCTCCGTGTCTGTGTTTTGTCTCTCTCTCAAATTTAGTTCTACCTGATGACGACTGCATGTGTTGCAATCGAAACGGCGTATTCTATTATTCAATTAATTTTCTTTCGACGTTGTCATTATTATTACACTGTATAAAGCAATAGGGGTAAAGGTGCAGCCCTGCAATTACCTGCTCTCACCACTGATGACGGAAGGGCCTCCACTGGAGAAATCTCGAGACACCCTC